TACTCATCTGACTGTTTTTCACTAGTTTTGCATTTGGCTAGGGCCAGTGTCACTACTGGTAGCATGAGGAGATACCTGAACCTTACAGAGGTTGCACAGGCAATCCAGCTCCTCCAGGATGGCACATCAGTACACGCCATTGCCAGAAGGTTTGCTGTGTCTCCCAGCACAGTCTCAAGAGCAGGGAGGAGATTCCAGGAGACAGGTAGTTACTCTAGGAGAGTTGGACAGGGCTGTAGAAGGTCCTTAACCCATCAACAGGACCAATATCTGTTCCTATGTGCAAGGAGAGACAGGATGAGCACTGCCAGAGCCCCAAAAAATGACCACCAGCAGGCCACTGGTGTGAATGTCTCTGACCAAACAATCAGAAACAGACTTCATGAGGGTGGCATGAGGGCCCAACGTCTTCTAGTGGTCTTTGAGCTCACTGCCCGACACCATAGAACTCGATTGGCATTTGCCAGTGAACACCAGAATTGGCAGGTCTGCCACTGGCACCCTGTACTTTTCACAGATGAGAGTAGGTTCATCCTGAGCACGTAACAAACATGAAACGGTCTGGAGAAGACCTGGAGAATGTTTACTGCCTGTAACATCGTTCAGCATAACAGTTTTGGTGGTGGGTCAGTGATGGTCTAGGAAGGTACATCCGTGGAGGGACGCACAGACCTCTACAGGCTAGACCAGGGGTGGGCAAACTTTTTGACTTGAGGGCCGCAATGGGTTCATATATTGGACCCGGGGGCCGGACCAAGAGTAGATGAATGATGTGTATGTGTTATCCATAGTAAGTATAGTAATATTCCCCCATAGTAAGCATAGTAATTAATCCCCCATATAGTAATTCATCCCCCATAGTAATTCATCCCCCATATAGTAATTCATCCCCCATATAGTAATTCATCCCCCATATAGTAATTCATCCCCCATAGTAATTCATCCCCCATATAGTAATTCATCCCCCCCATAGTAATTCCCCCCATAGTAATTCATCCCCCCCATAGTAATTCATCCCCCATAGTAATTCATCCCCCCCATATAGTAATTCATCCCCCATATAGTAATTCATCCCCCATATAGTAATTCATCCCCCATATAAATTCATCCCCCGTATAGTAATTCATCCCCCATATAGTAATTCATCCCCCATAGTAATTCATCCCCCATAGTAATTCATCCCCCCCATAGTAATTCATCCCCCATATAGTAATTCATCCCCCATATAGTAATTTATCCCCCATAGTAGTAATTAATCCCCCATATAGTAATTCATCCCCCATATAGTAATTCATCCCCCATATAGTAATTCATCCCCCATATTAATTCATCCCCCATATAGTAATTCATCCCCCATATAGTAATTCATCCCCCATATAGTAATTCATCCCCCATATAGTAATTCATCCCCCATAGTAATTCATCCCCCCCATAGTAATTCATCCCCCATATAGTAATTCATCCCCCCCATAGTAATTCATCCCCCATATAGTAATTCATCCCCCATATAGTAATTCATCCCCCATAGTAATTAATCCCCCATATAGTAATTCATCCCCCATATAGTAATTCATCCCCCATATAGTAATTATCCCCCATAGTAATTAATCCCCCATATAGTAATTCATCCCCCCTATAGTAATTCATCCCCCCTATAGTAATTCATCCCCCCTATAGTAATTAATTCCCCATATTAAGTCCCCAAGTCCCCCCTGTGTCAATTTACTTACCTTTGCTCCGCGCGTTCCTCTCGCCGTGTTCCCGCGCCGTTCCGGTGTAGCATGGAAATCTGTCTCCTATGAGGATCTGGCCCCCTCGACGTATCTGCGCATGTGCCAGTTTCAGGCATTAGTAGCCGATCGGCGAACTCCGGCACATGCGCAGATACGTCGAGGGGGACAGATCCTCATAGGAGACAGATTTTCATGCTACACCGGTCTTAAGGGCGGACTGTGAGAGGAGCCTAGCGGGAGCCTAGCTCCGCGGGCCGGATTAAAAGGGCCGTCCGCCGCGGGCCGTAGTTTGCCTATTGCTGGGCTAGACAATGGCACCCTGACTGCTATTAGCTATTGGGATTTAATCCTAGGACCCATTGTCAGACCCTACACTGGTGCAGTGGGTCCTGGGTTCCTCCTGGTGCACGACACTGCCCGGTCTCATGTGGCGAGAGTATGCAGGCAGTTCCTGGAGGATGAAGGAATTGATACCATGTAATGGCCCCCACACTCGCCTGACCTAAATTCAATAGAACACATCTGGGATATCATGTTCCGGTCCATCCAATGCCGCCAGGTTGCACCTCAGAATGTCCAGGAACTCAGTGATGCTCTGGTCCAGACCTGGGAGGAAAAACCCCAGGACACCATTCATTGTCTCATTAGGAGCATGCTCTGACATTGTCAGGCATACATACAAGCATGTGGGGACCATACAAACTACTGACTATCATTTTGAGTTGCTGCAATGAAATTTCAGCAAAATGGACTAGCCTTCTGCATCATTTTTTCACGTTGATTTTCGGGGGGGTTTTTGAATTCAGTCCTCTGTAGGTTGATAATTTCCATCAAACAATGGGGCATCCTTATGTTCCTAACACATTACCCAGTCCATATCAGTATAGATATCCAGCATGATATTTTTCCCCATTGAGATCTGATGTGTTTTCAAAGTGTTCCTTTCATTTTTTTGAGCAGTGTATTTGATCTACCACACAATGATGAGATAATCCACTATTTTCAGAAAAAATAACAGTACCTCCAACAATTAGAAAATTATACTAGATAAACAACATGGAGAATATTTAAAGCAGACATGGTAATGACAGGCAATTGTTAAAAGTAAAAGACCTTCCTAAGAGAAAAGGACACAAATTGTTTTCTTTTACTTTTATTAGCTAGGCAAGTAACACATTTATTTCCTGGTTTGGGATTTCAGCTTCCCAAATCTCCTTTCTTCCTGCAGCATGTTCATTAAGCAATGAAACAGCATCAAGTTAACAGGGATGTAGTAAAGCTGGACCAGAAAGTAGTATAGGGGTCTTCCTTGATGTTCGGTATAACAGATATATGTAAATCACAAGACTGGCTGAGCAAAATTACTTTGGCAGGTAAAACAGTATCCCAGTCATACATGGATCAAAATTCAGCCCTGTGTACAGTCAGCCTGCCACCGGCTATGCTGTACAGTGAATTCTGACAGCGTCTCCCCTGCTGTACACTAGCTCAGCGGGAGGGATTCTCCGATCCACATTGAATAGAGTGCACCTGTGTCCAGACTTTGAACATGAAACTATTTATAGGACTCATTTACAGGGGCACTAGCCCCATACAGCTTGACAATCCCTTTGTTTACTTTTCTTTCCTAGAGATGAGCTGTGTGCAGACAGCCAATATAGGTGAATGGACTAGCTTCGGCTGTATGGACTTGCCTGAACATCCAATTTTGACAGGTATGCAGGAATAGGTGCATGGGGTCGAAGTTCATGCTCCTGTCCCTGCACACTTGTCAGATTCGGCTGTGCGGGTTTCTCACAACTTAGAAACACTTGTTGGTTTCTTACATTAAAAGGCTGGCATGGCATATAAATATGTAAATTTAGTGTTCATAGTCACAGGTTCACTTTATGGGGTGTATTTACTAAAGCTGCATAGAAACCAGTCAGCTTTCAGGTTTTATTGCCTATGCTTACTTGAACAAACTGAGGTTTGAAGCAGAAGTGAGCCTGATTTTGCACTCTTCAGCTTTAGTAAATAAACGCCTATGGGTTCATTCAGCTATGTTTGTGTTTATGTATTACTTATAGCATAGAAGTATTCAATGTATTGTTTTTTGGGACAAACAGCATTTTCCTTTGTAGGTAGTGCCTTCAAGGGTTATAACATTTCTATATGCTTAATCTAAAACCAAAAACATTCTATTTTGTTTGGGATTGGGTAATAAGTTATTAGAACCACTGCAATTCTTTGCCACCTGTGTCCTAATAGGGAGGTTTCCCCTCATTAACTATCCTATAGACATATGAGTAATTGAAAGGAAAACGTATCTTTTCTTAGACAGTTGCCGCTGGAATGGGTGTGTTCATTGGAAGACTTCCCCTCCTATTACTGTCACAGTGATTTTTCCTCACTTACAGTTCTGGTGATAATTTTTACTGGGACAGATAGAGAGGGGAAATCACCATAATAAGGACACAGACAGCAATAAACACCTGCCAAGGGTTTTAACTTTTCCATAAAAGCGAAAAATAAAAAAAGTTTTGGCTTTTAGATATATTTTGAAGACAAAAAAAAATACACCTTTTTCCAGGTTGAACAGCGATAATTTAAAACAAGTGTTATTGTAGATTTAAAGATAAAGTCTCATGATACAAAGGATGCGGTTTTTTCCTTGTGTCTTGAGGTTAAAATTAGGATTGCGATACAAAGTGTAGTAAAGTTACTTTCAAATAAAATGAAGGTGCTTAAACATTTTTTCTCGGAATGTATTTTTTCAAAAATATCAAAGATCTGAAAAAGAAGCAGGGACAGGAATTCACACCAAGGCCTACAGCCTCTGCTTAAAATTTCAGAAATGTGATTTATCATGTGTTTACATAGTATGTTTATATAGTATTCCTTCCACCAAACCTGGAAATTTTCACTTAATCTGATACTAATAGGTAACCTTTGCCATCCCAAGCTTGCATTACATTTCAAGAAGGCTAGAGCCCAGCAAAATTTCCCCTACCATCAACAATAGCTGTGACTGAAATGTTCTAAATTGGGCCTCATTTAAACATAGTAGGTCCGGCCATAGGCTGCTGGGGGTAGTACATATTGCTGTGGTTTTCAAGCTTTGCTTTGCGGCAGGGCACAGCAAACATTTTACATGTTGCATTTAACAGGCAGCACCATTGCTAAATGCAAATTACCGTATTTTTCGCTCCATAAGACGCACCTGACCATAAGATACACCTAGGTTTTAGAGGAGAATAACAGGAAAAAAAATATTCTGAACCAATGGACTGCAGACATAGTACAGGAGATGACCAGAGACTGCGGACACAGTACAGGAGATGACCAGAGACTGCGGGGAACACACACAGTACAGGGGATGACCAGAGACTGCGGACACAGTACAGGGGATGACCAGAGACTGCGGACACAGTACAGGGGATGACCAGAGACTGCGGACACAGTACAGGGGATGACCAGAGACTGCGGGGACACAGTACAGGGGATGACCAGAGACTGCGGACAGAGTACAGGAGATGACCAGAGACTGCGAACACAGTACAGGGGATGACCAGAGGCTGCGGGCACAGTACAGAGGATGACCAGAGACTGCGGACCTTTGGGGAGGGAGGGGCCAGAGGCTGCGGGCACAGTACAGGGGATGACTAGAGACTGCGGACCTTTGGGGAGGGAGGGGGAGCGGGTACCTGAATTTGACAGGTACCCGCTCCCACTTCCGCGGAGTTGTCCTCCCTTTAGCTGTGCTGGGTGCCCACGGCGCATGCACAAGAAGCGCTGCGCTTTGTGAATGGCCCGGCGTCTTCTGGGACCTGTCATGTGTCCCAGAAGACGCCAGACCATTCACAAAGTGCAGCGCTTCTCGCGCATGCGCACTGGGCACCTGGCTGAGAGATGCCAGAGCGGGAAGACTGCACAGCGCTGGACCGAGGAACATGTGAGGTCCTGCAGAAAAGAGCTGCATGGCTGGCCCGGTATTCTGGCACGGTGGCGGCAGCGGAAATACCGGACTGGCCGCTCCATATTCGCTCCATAAGACGCACTGACATTTTCCCCCCTTTTTTGAGGGGAAAAAAGTGCGTCTTATAGAGCACAAAATACGGTAATTGGGCCATGCTACAAATTGAAGCCAAATGCTTGGCTTGCAATAGTGCTTCCATATTTCAATTGGAAATCCTGTTCTACTGAGAAAAAAAGGGCAATTCAGGAGGGTGAAAGAACGCCTGACAGTTGCTGCTCTACTGCCGTCTTTTCAGAAGGGTGGTAGAGCATGCTGCCCATGTGAACAAGACCTTAGAGTTTTACATGTATTGCCTAATTCTCACATGACTTAAATCATTTCAGGGCCACCAGGCGATTATGTTAAAGACTCAGTATCGCTGTCACCCCGTTATCAGCTCTGTAGCTAATGAACTGTTTTATGATGGACATCTTTTAAATGGAGTGTCACGAGAAGATTGTAAACCCCTTTTAGACTGGCTACCCACATTATGTTTTTATAATGCCAATGGAAAAGAACAGGTATGTTCACAAGATTTTTTTTTATGGCTATTGGGATCTATACTATAAACTATATCCAAGGTTATTTGAACATATTAATTTTTACTGTGTAGGAGCATAACACAATTGAATTAATTTTTTTCCCAAACATATTTTCTTCCTAACATGTATTTAGGTGGAAGGGAATAATAGCTTCTATAATATGGAAGAAGCCAACTTTACTGTGAAGCTCATCCAATCACTGATCGCTAGTGGAATACAGAGTTCCATGATTGGAGTAATTACTCTCTACAAGTCACAGATGACTAAGGTTTGTTTCTCACATATGCAGTATACATATCGGATATTTATAAAACCAAGTAAATTATAGATACCCAAGTACAATACATGTTATAGTCCACTGTTTGCAATAATTGTTTTGTTAATATTTATGTTGTATTATGTAGTTAAAAGATGCCCATAGATGGATTGAATCTTGGCCAGTTCAGCAGGGACCGGCTGAGGCTCGATCTATCTATGGGTAGGCTTGTACTGAAGTAATTCCATTGATCGACTTCAGTACAACCTGCTTGTCAGATTTTTTAAATGCGATAGACAGCACCTATAGCAGTGATCATTGTATTCTGCTGGTGGGGGGCTTCCTACGCTCCCCGCTGGCAGGACACAATAGCGCTGTGGGAGGGATTCCCCCATCATCCCTGACTGTTGATGGGGGAATAAAAATTGCATAATCTATGTGCTGCTTAATTTATACTATACTATATACGCTAAGTATAGATTACAACTGTAACAGCTTTTTTACGTCTTAGCAACACTTTTGAGATTAGTGTATGTTGCATTATGCAGTATTGGCTTGAAAGTTACAAGGATCTGGGGTTTTCAAGAAAAACACTGACAGCTTATTACCAGATCGTGCACAAATAGAGGACTGTAACCAATTATCTTCAAGTGGGGAGTTCTAAGAACAGGTAATACATTTTGCTAGGATTAAGTAACATAACATAGGTATCTTTATGTTTATATCTGTAACTTAAGGGGTACATGAATAGCTAGCTGCAGCACAGTTTTTGTAAATGGTATATTTACATGTTTATCAGAAGTTTTCATCGCTACAGTACTGTGCTGCAACTTTTAAAAGTAGAAATGTTATCTATCTTTCCCACTACTTTGGCCACAGTACATAAGAACTGTATAATGCAAAAGAGGATACTTTAGTGTCAAAGCATATTTAGAACCCCCCCCCCCCAAAAAAAAATAAATAAATTATATACTGAAGCCTTATCAGTTCATGGATGTGGTGACTAAATTAGTCTTCTTTTTTAGCCTTTATCACTTTATTTTTATGTGTTAATTCTGTGAATTTATCAAAACTGGAGCAGACAAAATCTGGAGCAGCTGGTCATGCAACCAATCAGCTTCTATCTTGAGCTTGTTCTCTTAAGTTTTGAAAATGAGAGCTAGAAGCTGACTGATTGCCATGCAGAGCTGCTCTCTTCAGTGTTGATAAATTCCCCTCTTTCTGTCATTTTGTGGCTACACTCATTTCTCAAGTAGCCGTGGTTGTCACATTTCTGCCTTTGTTCATCTTCATTACATGGTAGTCGATGGGATTAGTAGTTTACACAAGAAAAGTAAGGTTTTGTGCTTTCACAGATTGTGACAAGGTCATTGCATTTTTGGCAAGATCGACAGATAAAGCGGGTATAATAAATACTGAACACGTCACTATTTTTCTCAGTAAATATATTTCATACAAAGAAACCAAAACAAATAAGTTCAGAAATTAAGTTGTGTAATAAAATGGAATGAAAAAGTATTGAACACATGAAGAGAAGGGAGGTGAAAAAAGGAATGGAAAGCCAAGACAGCAGCTTAAATCTATCAGCAATTAGAAAGCAATCCTGCCCCTTTTCAGTGAAAATTAATATCAGCTTGTTCAGTATCAACTGAGGCCTATGAAAAGTTGTCTTTTTACCAAGGTGTCACACAAGAAACATATCATCATGGGTAAAAGCAAAGAGCTCTTTCAAGACCTTCGCAAACCTATTGTTGCAAAACATACTGATGGCATTGGTTTCAGAACAATTTCTAAGCTTCTGAATGTTCCAGTCAGTACTGTTGAGGCCATAATCCAGACGTGGAAAGAACATAATTTCACCATAAACCAGCCATGACCAGGTGCTCCTTGCAAGATTTCTGACAGAGGAGTGAAAACAATTATCAGAAGAGTTGTCCAAGAGCTAAGGAGAGCTTCAGAAAGAGCTGGAATTAGCAGGTACAATTGTTTCAACGAAAACTATAAGTAATGCGCTCAACCACCATGGCCTGTAAGTACACTCACTACACAAGACTCCATTGCTGAAGAAAAGCATGTTTGCTGCACAACATTTAGACAAGCCTGTGAAATACTGGGAGAATATAATCTCATCAGATGAGACCAAAATTGAACTCTTTGGATGCCATAATACACACCATGTTTGGAGGTCAAATGGCACTGCACATCACCCCCAAAACCACCATACCAACAGTGAGGTTTGGAGGTGGGAACATCATGGTGTGGGGCTGTTTTTTCAGCATACAGTACTGGCAAACGTTATATCATTGTAGGAAGGATGACTGAAAAAGTGTACAAAGACATTCTTGTTAAAAATCTGCAGCCATCTACCAGGGTGATGAAGATGAAACAAGGGTGGACATTTCAGCAAGACAATGATCCCAAACACAAAGCCAAGGAAACTCAGTTGGTTTCAAAGAAAGAAAATAAAGCTGCTAGAATGGCTCAGCCAATCACCTGACTTCCATACACTATATTGACCAAAGTATTGGGACACCCACCTTTACACGCACATGAACTTTAATTGCATCCCAGTCCTAGTCCGTAGGGCTCAATATTAAGTTGACCCACCTTTTGCAGCTATAACAGCTTCAACTCTTCTGGAATGGCTGTCCACAAGGTTTAGGAGTGTGTCTATGGGAATGTTTGACCATTCTTCCAGAAGCGCATTTGTGAGGTCAGGCATTGATGTCGGACGAGAAGGCCTGGCTCACAGTCTCCACTCTAATTCCTGCCAAAGGTGTTCTATCAGGTTGAGGTTAGGACTCTGTGCAGGCCAGTCAAATTCCTCCACCCCAAACTCGCTCATTGTTGTCTTTATGGACCTTGCTTTGTGCACTGGTGTTCAGTCATGTTGGAACAGGAAGGGGCCATCCCCAAACTGTTCCCACAAAGTTAAGAGCATGAATTTGTCCAAAATGTCTTGGTATGCTGACACCTTAAGAGTCCCCCTTCACTGGAAGCCCAACCCCTGAAAAACAACCCCACACCGTAAACCCCCTTTCACCAAACTTTACACTTGTCACAATGCAGTCAGGCAAGTACCATCCTCCTAGCAGCCGCCAAACCCAGACATGTCCATCAGATTGCCAGACAGAGAAGCGTGATTCCTTACTCCAGAGAACACATCTCCACTGCTCTAGAGTCCAGTAGTTGCGCGCTTTGCACCACTGCATCCGACGCTTTGCATTGCACTTGGTGATGTAAGGCTTGGATGCAGCTGCTCAGCCATGGAAACCCATTCCATGAAGCTCTCTACGCACTGTTGTTTTGCTTATCTGAAGGCCACACCTGTGGCCATGGAGATGACTGGAACACTTGAATTCAATGATTTGGAGGGGTGACCCAATACTTCTGGCAATATAGTGTATATGGAAAGAACGAAGTCTGCTTTCACACTTGAGCGATTTAAAGCTCGAAGCTCCAAAAATGCTCAAACCTAAAAAAATCAGTTGTTCTCTATGGTGCCTGTTCGCAAAATCAGGTGTGAACAGGCACCTTGGAAACAATTGATTTTTTAAGCTTGAGCATTTTTGGAGCTTCAAGCTACAAATCGCTCAAGTGTGAATGCAGCCTAAAGATCAGAGTTCATGAAAAAGGCCCACAGAACCTCCAAGATTTGAATACTGTGTGGAAGAATGGGCCAAAATCACACCTGAGCAATGCTTGCGACTAAGTTCTCCATACAGAAGACGTATTGAAGCTGTCACTACCAACAAAGGATTTTGTATGATGTTTTACATAAATTTCAGTTAGTGTGTTCAATACTTTTTCCCTGTGTCATTCCATTTTTTTACACATAATTTCTGAACTGTTTCTTTGTATGT